TAGTCAAAAAATGGTGAGACCAGTCAGATTCAAGAATATTTATTCCTAAAGCTGTAGCCAGACAACTTGAAGAAGTACATTTTACTGAATTCAGGCCAGCACCCCTCAATTATAAATACCTTCTTGTAGCCATGTGCACCTTTTCCTGATGAATTTTAGCTCTCACACACACCCCAAGATTGTCCTCCAGTAAGAGTTGCACTGTCAATTTGCTCAGACTATGGTCCAGATTTTGTGTCTAAAATCTTTCAAACTTTCTCCAGTGCTTTATGTGTCACCTGGAAACTACATAAAGCTTATCAGCCTCAGAGTTCAGGACAAGTAGAAAGAATAAACAGAACCCTTAAAACCATCCTAATAAAGTTATGACAAGTTTTTCAGCCAGATTTGTCAAGTAAATCTTGACCAGAATTTCAGACTTATTTTGCTGTTAATAAGTAGTGTAGGCATTATTGTTTCAATGTTGGTGGAGATACTGCTTCAATGTTGGCAGGAGCACAGAAATTGGAAAGAAGACATTCATATGAAATTTCCTCGGTATTGTATGTGTGCAGTCAAGTCAGTCAGTTATTAGATTCTTGCTTACAAAATGGTTAGTCTGTCCTTCCTATCATACTGGAAGACCAACAAACATTTGATGATTTTTTTTTAATCATGAAAGTGTTTATGTTGCTCAAGCTCCCCACTAATCTTAAAGAGCTGTGCAGCTTCCACCTCTCAAAACAATTACTGTACCTTCAGAAAGTGATAACTTACATGTCTAAGACTGTTTTAGTCTGGACTCATTAACTACCCTTAGGCAAACTTGTCAGCCAGAAAACTCAGTTCTTGTTAAAATGTAGAAAAAAGGTCTGCAGCCGGTGTGAAACAGACTGTGACAAGTTATCCCGATTACTCCCACTGCAGTCAAAATTATAGGATCTGTGGATTCATTTCTCATGAGTGAAAGAAGCACCCGACCCACCAAAGTGGACTGTTAACCCCAGATGTACACCACTCCACCATTCAACATCAACTGCACCATGCAGACACAGTTGTAAAACTTAGCAGATCATCAGCTGAGTTGCAAGATCCTCTCTTCAACCAGCACCCTGCTCTACCCAGCATTCCTCCTTGTTCTCATCATCAGCCACCAAATGCAATTCCTCGTTGCCCACTCCGGTCTCTACACTCTCTGCAATGCACCTATTTCTCAACATAACCCATCCTGGACTTGCATCTGACTGCTGGCTTTCCCTGCATGCTAAGCCACCCTATTATGTTAATCTCAGAGTACTCAATTGACCTATTCCACAATCTATAAGTCATTATGTATGAAAACTGTCATTCTTGATACTTCCCTTACCTGTTTTGTGCCTAATAGTACTGGGCTAACACACAATGTCTTCAAAGGTCACTAGTAACCAAGCCTGTCTATGTGTCTTTTTCCAAGTTCTCTCTCAAATGTATGTTAATAGTGGCCAAAAGGGGCAAAAATGTGTTAATCTGCCGAGCATCTGTGTTGCCAAGGACACCTTCCCTTGTCAAACCTATTCCTTTAGGTTTCAGTATTGCCAGATCAGTAGCTCTTTCCACTACAACACTAGTCAAGAGACATACAAGTATCTTAAGTTTTCAGTGTGCCATTTCCTTTCTGCATGGCCAAGTGAAATCCCTAGCTGAAGTTATACTCCAGAACCAGTAAAGTTTACATCTTCTGTTTCTCTCCTAGAGGATGTTGTGTGCTGCCTTAAGAAAAACATGTTGCTTTTATGCCAGTCAGTCAAATGTTATTATTAATATTCTGCAAAAAGTAAAAAATAACCTTAAAGCCTGACAGAACAAGAATCCAGAGAGTTTAAGTATCAGAAAATGTCTAATTAGAACCCCTAGTTAACTTCCTTACTTACTGAAATCTCTAGACCCCTAATACCTCTCTTCCTCTTCCTCCTAATTAGACCATGTATCCCTAATCGTATAATCCAAATTTAAGCCTCGAGTCACAATGTTGAAAGATCCTATGGGTAATATGTTGGCCCAAAGTGACCCAGAAAGAATCAAAAGAAGACGGAGGGAATATACAGAGTCACTATACCAAAAAGAACTGACTGATATTGAAAAATGTCAAGAAGTACCATATAAGCAGGAGTCAGTAGTAATGAAGGAGGACATGGAAGCTACATTGAAGGCATTGACAAAAAATAAATAAATAAGGTCCCAGAATTTAATGGGATACCAACTGACTTGTTTCAATTAACAGATGCCCTGGATGTGCTCACCTGTCTATGCCAGGAAATTTGGAGGACAGCTGTCTGTCCAACAGATTGGAATAGGTCTATATTTGTTCTCATTCCCAAGAAAGGTGATCCAAAAGAATGTGGAAACTATCAAACAATATTATTCATATTACATGTAAGCAAAATACTGTTGAAGATCATTCAGAAATGGCTAGAACAGTACATAAATAGGGAACTGCCAGAAGTTTAAGCAGGATTTAGACGAGGCCATGGCGCCAGGAATATCATTGCTGATGTCAGATGGATCCTGGCTAAAAGTAAAGAATGCCAGAAAAATGTTTATTTGTGCTTTATTGGCTATCCAAGAGCATTTGGCTGTGTGGATCATAACTTCTCAGTGGCTGACACTGAGAAGAATGGGAATTCCAGAGCACTTAATCGTGCTCATGTGAAATATATACCTGGTGAACAGAGCAGAGAAACCATGAATGGTTTAAAACTGAGAAGGATGTGTTTCAGGGTTGTAGCCTCTCTCCATGCATATTCAACCTGTATGCTCAGCAAATGATTCAAGAAGCTGGACTGTATGAAAAGGAATGTGGCATCAGGATTGGAGGAAGACCCATCAATAACCTTGCTTGCTGAAAGTGAGAAAGACTTGAAGCACTTGTTGCAGAGGATCGAGGAAAGCAGCTTTCCGTACAGATTGCATCTCGATGTTAGGAAAACAAAGACTCTTACCACCGGACTGATAAACAACATAATAATGGATGGTGAAGAGATTGAAACTATCAACAACTTCATTTTACTTGGATCCACATTAACACTCTTGGTACCAGCAGTCAGAAAATAAGGAGACACATTGCACTGGGAAAGTCTGCAGTTAGGGACCTCTCCAAATTACTGAGGAGAATGAATTATAAAGTAACACGTATGAATGGAAAGTCAATATGCTTTGTAAACTTGCACTCAACTAAAATTTTTTTTAAAAGAGAGGGAGAGGTAAAGGAAGACTCTGATTATCAGAATCTATCCATTCCTGTAAAACGTACACCAAAAACAATAACCCCGGAGTAGTTTCACTCTGCAATGTAATGGGGCACTGTTCACATGATGATTGTGAATTTATATTGGTTCCAGACAGACCCAAAGAAATTATTTTAAGTAACACTCAAAGTAGATGGTGAAAAAATTTGAGATTGTTCTCAGCTTTAGTCTAATTGGCTCCATAATCAACACTCTTGGTACCAGCAGCCAGGAAATTAAAAGACATACTGTGATGGGAAAGTCTGCTGTTAGGGACTTCTCTAAAGTAATGAAGGGCAA